AAGAATATTTAAATTTTCTATGTTGTTTAAATACAAGTATCTAACAATTTGCCAATTCCCTTTATAATTATCTAAGATACTTTTCATAACTTAATATGACTTTATTTAAAAGATTATGTGCCCTGCCATATTCATATGATATACATAACATAGAATAAATATCTATTTTCATGATTTTATAAAGTTTGACGATAGCGAATGTTCTATTTTTAAAAACATAAATCTTCAGACATGTCAAGCCTTCTTATAAATTAAACTGACAACGATAGCCAATGTGCCGTTTCATTAAGTTTCAATTGAATAACCATTTTGTAATGTCGTTTTTACTGCCCTGAAAATGAAAATTGATACATTGATTAAATGACGATTCATACTTCGTTAATCTTTTTGTCGTCAAACCAAAATAAATTTTTGAGCCAGAACACTAAATAAGGAGTCAGTTTGAAAAGTCTGAAATGATTTTCACCCCTAAAATAAACGTTAAGATTAAGATGCTTTTAATTTTTGTGTATCTTGGTATGCTGACCCTCAGTTCAGATGCGTGGAGTAACACTGACGTCACAACTTTGCTCGCGTCCACTACTTTTACTAATTACGACAAGCGCATCCGTCCCAGGGCAACACAAAGCGATGTGGTTGATGTGTATATCAAGTTAGGACTTACCGCCATAACTGGACTAGATGAGATTGGAGGAACTCTGTACTTAGTGGGGTATCTAGATGTAACGTGGAGAGATGATCTTATAGCATGGACCGGAAATGTTGATGAAATGATGATGTCGCATAAGGATATTTGGACTCCCGCTGTGACTTTGTATACCTCTGTCAGCTCTCTTTCCGAACTAGGGGCATCTGATGACCCTGTTACTATCCTTAAAGACGGAACCGTGAATTGGAGGCCAGGGCTTGTCATTGAAAGTGGTTGTGCTATTGATGTTAGTTTCTATCCTTTTGATACACAGGAGTGTACAGTTACTTTTCTTCCTTGGCAGTACACAAGTGACCTTGTGCATCTGATGCCAAACGCTACAACGGTTGATACAACTCTGCTACAAAAGAGTTCTGAATGGGATTTGACAGAAACGACTGTGAAAAATACTTCCGGAGTTTTCACAGAAGTGTCTTTCGAACTTACACTAAAGCGGCGTCCACAGTACTTCATATTGAATATGGTTCTTCCAATTATTCTAATAGGGCTCCTGAATGGGTTTGTCTTCGTGATGCCATTTGACCAAGGAAGGGTAGGCTTTATCATTACAGGATTCCTTTCGATTGGTGTCTTTTTGACTGTTATAGCAGATGTTCTTCCAAAGTCTTCAAATCCTATGTCTCTGTTGGCTTATTTCATCATCTGGCAGCTTATGCTTGGCGCGCTTTGCACACTGGAGTCTATTTTAACTTTGAAAATCTACCATCGGCACGGCAAGATGCCTCTTCCTAATTCTCTGAAGAAATTTCTATCTGTCCTCTGGTGTTATCCGTGTCGAGGTAAAAGCGTTCAGGATGAAAAACCGCCAAAAGGGTACACCTTCTACAGAAAACGCTACCAGCTTCACTCAGTCTCGGTATTCGTCAAGGAATTTAAAATGAAGAGAAAGGGGGATGACAACGATAACCCAGAACTAAAAGAGAAACCGGAGCCGAAGGTGTCCTGGAAGACACTTGGGAGTACCCTTGATATATTTTTCTTCTTTGTGTTTATCATTCTCAACATCGCTATCTACATGATGTTCCTTGTTCCTTTGGCCAATGCTGCATAAACTAGATTGCAATGTTCAATAAAACAACAAAATGAGTGACGTTTTGACATGAAATCAAAAGAAATTTTTCTTTGTAAATTGTTGCATGTGATTTATTAACTGAATCGGTAAAGTCTTCAATGTATGAATTACTGGTATACCTTATGTCATATAAACAGTATACCGGTATAATACATGTACATGTATTCTTAATGTTTTCTTAACACTGTAAATCTGACATCCTGTCAAAATATATGTCCCGAGGAATTTCGGATAAAACTACAAGTTTTACTGTTTGTAGATATTTGAAAAAAATTTCACTTACTTTTTAAATTTTTTTAAGTATTGTTTATGTCAACATAGCTTACAAACTCTATAAAAGTCTTTTGATAGTCAACTTTAAAATGCATATAAATGTATATTATACAATGTTTTGTTTTGAACAGATATTGTAATTGATTATTGTTGTATTATTCCTTTGTTTATTTCTTTCTCTTTTCTTTATACAGCATGTACTTGGTTATCTTGAATAAATCTTTAGAAACCAATATGTTTGCTAGTTTTCATTTGAACATAGCAATGACAAGTTTTTGAGGAGTACTAGTATGTCGTATTTTTACTTTTCCTCTCTATATATGCACACCACGTTTCAAGATATTCAATTTCTAGAAATTAAAATAGAAAAAAAATTCATATTGCAGAGAAATGAAATGGTAAATCTGGCACTAAACACGATATTCTGATATAATTGTCATAACAATATAAATAAAGAAGTCAAAGAACAATTTAAATGTTCGGTGACAAATTATCAATGGTCCATGCTTTTGTATTCTGAATCTTTGCCGATCAAATAAATGATATTAATTAAAGGGACCATAGCCGACCAGGTCGGAATAGACAGAGTTAAGTATTTTTACGGAGGCAAGTAATGGCGGTGACAAAGTTGTTATTCCTCTTTTTAGCGATTTCCGTCATTAATTATGCTTGCGGAGATATTTCGTCTGACTGGATCCTGTTCTACAGAAACATCTTTAGCTCTTACAACAAGAACATCTTCCCTAGGGAAGAACAGTCCGACAATGTTACTGTTAAACTCACTTATTACCTCAACGCTATCAACAACTTTGACGAAATCGGCGGGGTTTTGAAGACCACTGGATTCTTAGAAGTGGAGTGGGAAAATGAACTTGCCGCTTGGGCTGAGAAACCACGCGGAATGTCTGCTCCTATTCCAGACACCATGATTCCACTCGTGGATCTTTGGCATCCACCGATTACGCTGGCTAACTCCGTCACTTCACTTGCAGAACTTGGATCCAACAAGGATTTAGTCTGGGCAAAATTCTCTGGGACACACATTTGGCGACCTGCGGTTATTCTGTCTTCTTCCTGCTCTACAAATCCTCTCTATTTTCCTTTTGATACTCAGAAATGTAACTTGACTTTCCGCGCCTGGGATCATATAGCTTCAGAAATCCTGTTAACTGCTCCAGACCCAAAAGTGAATTTAGAATTTTACACCCCAAGTGAACAGTGGGAATTATTGGACTCAGAGGTCCTAATATGGGAAAGAGATCGAAATTCGTATGTTACATTTACCTTAAAAATACGAAGAATTCCACTATGGTTTATCATAAATATGGCAGCGCCAATCGGGCTGCTAGGACTTCTAACAACTTTCGTTTTTCTGCTCCCAATCGAAGAGGGTCGAGTTGGATACGCTTTGGGGTCATTTCTGACATTTTCTGTCTATTTGTCTTACATTATCGACAGTTTGCCAAAGTCTTCGGACCCTATGTCGTATTTGACTATATATATTGTGATTCAAGTCATTATGAGTGGAAGTGTTTCTTGCATTTCGGTATTTACCGTGCGGTTGTACCTCAAAGATGAATACGCTAGAGTTCCAACATGTCTAGCTCTCTTCATTGGTTTCATCTGCTGTAAATTTTGTGCAAAGGATGAATTTGATGAAATTTACAAAACGGAAGAACCTGCCGTGAAGGAAATTGGTAACACCACGGAAATCGACAGCGAGAACGAACCGCCACAGAGGGAACACATGAAACCTGAAAATCTGCCATCTAGCGTCAAATTCGGCGTCCCGAATATCAAGTGGAAACCAATAGATGCTGACAGAGAGGATGAGGAAGACGCAGATAAGCTCGGTCCAATCACAATACCGAGAGTTGGCTGGAAAATGGTGGCCAGATCACTAGACTACTTTTTCTTTTTGGGTACGATTGCTACACATGCAATACTTGCGTTTGTTTTTCTATTGCCGATTTATGTTCAGTACTAAATGTACTGATGAATTGTAAAACTTAACTATAAGATTCTTATTGTTTTTTTCATTTAAGTGAACATCGTATGTTTTTGTAAAAAAAAATATAATGGATAAATAACACACTTTATTTTCATAATCAGCAACATTTCATGAAGATTTACGTATATATACCGATAGATAACTTGAATAATGTTCGCCAGGTTAAATGGGAGAATTCTATAAGATTTTGTCACAATGTTAAAATAGTGTGCAAATTATGTACAGAATTACATGTACATAGAAAATGAAACAAAGTTGCATATTTAATCACTGTAGAAAACTTATTACTTTATTTTCATGAATTTATTATAAACATATTATTATCATTTCCTTTCAAATTCAGTCAAAATATGTAAATCATTCCATGCATAAAATTTTGCTTTAGTTTTGTCCTTAAAATTAGAAATTCATTTCATCCATTTGACGTGCTTGTTAATTGAAAATCGATTTAATTTGATACATGATTTGGACATGCACGATGTTAATTTACAGTGAACAATTATTTTGATTTTTATCTGACTTGAATTATTCTTTATAAGATGTTCATGCATTGGAAAGTCCCAATGCTACTTTATTTTCATGGCTATCAATAAGTCAACATTATTTCATGTATTCTACATGAGTGTTGTCATTTAAATGTGTTTTCCTGCAAAAATAAAGATCGTGAAACGTTAACCTTTTTTGTATATTTTTTTTTCAAATGCTAGTATCATTAATAAAATTATGATATTCAAATACTCTCTGGAGAATAAGCAAACAGTGACACAGGCTTTGTATATTTTTGAATAAAGGTTAAAATTAAATATATTTAACTTTTTTTTCTCATTGCGAGAAAATGAATTTAAAATTCATGTGACCATATACTTTATTTAAAAAAACATGTTGTTGTAGTGTCGTTCTTGAAGAAGAAACGTGACAAAGCTAGCGTGATCATTCTCATTAAATAATTTCCTTTGTTTGTTTTTTTTAAATTTGGAAACGTTGATCAACTTCATTTCCAAAAGAACAAACACGAGCATTTCAAAATATATGGAATGATACATGTATACGATTGATCAGTCATTTATTAGTGCTGATTGCATCTGAAATGTTCTGAATAGTTTAAATGTCCCCTCAATAGGTGCAAACTGATGCAAAGGATTGACTGAATAAACAGGCCGTCAATTGTACCTACCGTTTCTTGATTTCTTATGTTTCAAACACAGTAGGGAAAATGGCGACTTTACACTACATTTTCTATTTGTGGATTCTATTCGCTTCTGAATACGTTCAAAGTTCTGGAAAGGGTTGTGCCCCGGGGCAGAATAAAGGAGCACAAGATCCTTCTTGTCCGTCTTCAGGAGGAGGGTCATCTGGGGCCACCACGGCAGCCACCGCGGAAACTACAACGGCAGTCCCCACCCGACAGTATTCATCATCGGAGCAAATGGCATCGTTCATCGTGGACACATTTACGTCTTCTACGGCTACCTACAACAATTTAATTTTTCCTAGAAAGAATTTTAATGACACCATTTTAGTAGACATTGGTTTTAGCTTAATAGCCATCACTGACTTTGATGAAGTAGCTGGGACATTGGAGGTGATTGGAATCTTGACAATAACTTGGTATGATGAGTTAGTAGATGACTCCTACAGCAGTAGTGTTCATGGACCATTTACGGAAATTGCGATACCTAATGGATTTCTTTGGAAACCACCAGTTTCCCTATTTAACTCTGCTTCAGCAATTGAGCCTGTAGGCGATACTTCTAATTATGTTCGTATGTACAGGATCGACGATTCAAATGATCCTTATAATCGGCATGGTAAAATGGAATGGCGTCCAGGCGTGATTACCAAAACCGGATGCACAGTAGATGTGGCATATTTCCCTTTTGATAGACAAACCTGTAACATTACGTTCACCCACTGGGGTTTTACTGACAAACAAGTGAAATTCGAACCATCCGCATCGAGTTTAGATTTGACAGATTATTCACCGTCGGACGAGTGGAGTATTGAACAATCAAGACTGGTTGAGGAAACAGTTGATGGTGGTTCATTTGTGAAAATAGAAATAACATTAGAACGAAAACCTACTTATTATTTGGTAAACTTCTTCCTGCCAATACTTATTTTGGGTATCTTGACTGCTTTAGTGTTCATTCTGCCTTTAGAGAGTGGTGAGAGAGTCGGGTACTCCGTAACAGGTTTCCTTACCTTTGCAGTATACTTAACCTTAATTGCTGAGGGAATGCCAAGGACATCCGAGCCAATGGCCATCCTCAGCTACTATCTGATGTCAATGGTCGTCGTTAGCGCAGCTGCTACCATCATTACCGTCTTCACTCTTCGTATATTCTTAAAAGAAGAAAACGATCCTATCCCAGCCTGCATAGTCTACTTTATTGCTGGTCTGAATTGTTTAATCTGCACAAAAGAGGAAGATGATGACGATGAAACGCCATTATTAGGTCCAGATGCAGTGGAACTACAGACGACGAGAGTCGGGTCAGCCAAGGCTCGAAGATCCAGGATTGAGGTGGAGAGTATTGCCAGTGATGACCACCCTGACAATAAATATGACGTAGATTGGAAGCTTGTAGCCAGTACATTAGATATATTTTCTCTGGTTGCCATCATGGCAGGCAGTGTGGCCATTGCAATCGTGTTTTTGGTTCCACTGGCTGCTCAAATGTAAACTTGTACATGGAAATCGTTTTTGAATTTCTGTTTTTATAGGAAATCAAAAAAATTAGATGGTGCATGGGATGCAATATAAATACATGTAACGTTATGCAACATTTGTAGAAAATCTGTTTTCAAAAACTTTAATGTCAGTAGTATACTGGTGTATTAGGTTACAAAATATTTGTTCATGAAATTTTCATCGACTTGTATTGTTTGTTAAATAGTAACAATAAAATGCTAGCCTCTGAGTAGCCCAGGTTTTGGGAGCAAGCGGGATACCAAATTCTCATTAAGAATTTTTTTTAGTCTATACCCCTTGGCTAACATCTAAGAAAGGAAAACCGCGGGTCAACAGCGTAGCAATATACAGGACGAGTGTTGATATGACTTGACTGATAAATGACTTGGATGCAATTTTTAACTCTTCTTTATTCTGAATTTGGTGATTGCTCAGTCAAATTGATGTCATATAATAGTCCCCCCAGCCTAGCTCCTAGGATACTGAACAAAAATTCCTCAAGAAATTGTTATGTAATTCATAATTCATTGTCATATTATTACACGTGGCTTAAAACCCAATGTACCTTAGCCCGATGGCCTTGAATGCTGAAATAAAAATATATATACTGATTGATTGATCCACTGATTGTGCACGTTTTTAGGATCAGTATGTTCTGGGAAGATAAGTGCAGTCAGATACATTTACAAAGAGATTAATAGATAATGAAAACCATTCTTGTAAACATTTGATAATAAAGCGTGTAAGTAAAGGTCTTGGTGAAAAATGGACCAAAGTTCCAAATATAATATGACTAACTACAAATTTTTACGTGTTAAAACTACTTGAGTTAAGAATATTAAACACACTGTCCTACAAAGCATATACCTGTAAAGCATGTACAGTATTGAAATCAAGTGTATGTATACATAACTATGTATAATGTCGTTATACATGTTCATAATTTGCAACAATCATTTAAGAAGAAAAATTAAACTGATCTGATTTTGCATGCATGTCTACAATTCAATAAACTAATAACATTCTTCTGTAAAATTTACCTCGATGTTCTTTTGGATCTACATCAATCACATTTATTTTTATCCTCTTTAAATTTATCGTTACATTCATGTGTAAAAATTCACGTCGAATACTAGTATACCGTAGCATATTGTGAGTTTCTTTTGAAATCAAGTGTATGTATACATAACTATGTATAATGTCGTTATACATGTTCATAATTTGCAACAATCATTTAAGAAGAAAAATTAAACTGATCTGATTTTGCATGCATTTCTTCTTCTTGAGTCTACAATTCAACTAAACTAATAACATTCTTCTGATAATTAACAATCTCTTTCTAAAATTTACCTCGATGTTCTTTTGGATCTACATCAATCACATTTATTTTTATCCTCTTTAAATTTATCGTTACATTCATGTGTAAAAATTCACGTCGAATACTAGTATACCGTAGCATATTGTGAGTTTCTTTTGCGGGTGCAAAATTTGGCAAAAAGTATGCCAATAATTTGGGCGGGCATTTTTTGGCAGATAAACAGTTCTTTGGCGTTGTAAAAGATAGAAAGTTCATCTTTTAGATAAGTTTTGAATATTAAAATTTTAGCAGACTTCTTAAAGATAGAAAGTTCATCTTTTAGATAAGTTTTGAATATTAAAATTTTAGCAGACTTCTTCTAAACCGCTAAAATAAGCCAAAATTATCACCCCGCTAAAGCTTTTCACAATACGGTAAATATCTACATCTGAGGTACATGCATTAAAGATGTAAGACCCTACCCTTCCCCGACACATATTTGAAAAATATACTTAATTATGAAATAGAAAAATCTGCTTGACCGATGAAAGAACTGAAGATATGCTACACATATTAAAGTTTTGGGAATTCTTTCAGATGGGCATCTCAATTCGATTATTCTTGTAACCCCATTTAAAATATATACATGATACTGTAACCGTCCATAATTAAGTGCACTCAATAATCAGCACAGTCATTCTGAACATTCTGATTTGCATATTTACGATTTAGCTGATTTAAAATTAAATTTTTATATATATTATATATTTTTAATAGGTGCTGAAATATGATCACGTCTTAAATGAGAACGTTTACAGCATAATTTACTTGCCTTTCAATGTTTGAATATTGATAACAATTAGACAAGTAAGAAATAAGTCAATCTTTAGAAAAATGATAATTAATATATGTTAATCATTTTTTCTTTATTGTCCCTTTTATAATTAACAACTAATTTGCTCAAAATCTAATTTATCTTAATTTATCTAAACTTCAACATTTTACTTAAGAATTACTCTCTGCAAAAATAAAGAAAGAAATGCAGTTTAAATTTTCAAACAAAAACTTCTACCTCTGCCAATAAATAGTGACTATTAGATAAGCAATTGTTAAGTTTCTTTATATTAAGTTCAGAATGTGACGTGTTGAGAATTCTTGTGACAACTTCGTGGCTTCCCATGTTCAGAGATCTATGCCTGACATTTAATGATAAAGACTTTAATTAAACATCACAAAACAATACATTATCCGTATCAAAGCGTATCTCTTCATCTTTGAACCTGAGTGTATGACGGGTTAATTGGCACCTCTTACAGGCTTCTATATTACCATTCGGGCGTACAAGATTTCAATTTGAGGCAACTAAAACGAACAGTAATGGCGGACACTACTTTTATAGAGTAAAGAGGGGATATTGACGGAAAAAACACGTAAGGATTTTGAAAGAAGAAAAATGGAATGCCGTGGAATACTAAAACGTATTCTGATTTTGTTCACTCTGGTTTTTGGAACAAAATCTTCAACAACTCCTGCTGGAGGACAGCAAGTGAAAACATCCTGTTCCGTGTGTGAATCCATGCCTATTCCTAATCTGAACCATGTGAAATTACTCTTCAGAGACTTGTTCACAAATAACAAGGAGTACAGCAATCTGGTTTTCCCTCATAAAGATCAGTTAGCGACAATCAGCGTCAACATGAAATTTGCGCTGTATTCGATTCCTGAATTTGATGAACTTGGAGGAACGCTAAAGGTTATCGGGCGATTGAAAATGGCTTGGTTTGACCATTATGTAATTGAAAAGTACACTCCCCAGAAACATGTCCTCGAAGCATTAGATATTCCACAAAATGACATTTGGCTTCCTCCAATAACTGTCTTCAATTCTGTGGAATCGCTGACACCTGTAGGACATTCCGGTTATGAAGTCACAATCACCCTTACTAATGGCTATGTACAGTGGGAGATTGGTGTAGTCACGAAGACTGGATGCACAGTGGTTGCCTCGGATTATCCATTTGATACACAGTATTGCACGATTACTTTCACTCCTTGGGGGTATTCAAACAACGAAGTATCCATCACAACTGACGAAGATAATATCAATATAGAAGACTTCATTGAAAATGAGGAATGGGCTGTAATAGATAGTACACAAGAAATTTACGTGGCCGCTAATCGCTCTCTGATTAGCTACCACCTGACTCTGAAGAGGAGACCCGTCTTCTTCATCATCAACATGATGGTGCCTATCGTATTACTTGGCATGCTTAACAGTCTCTGTTTTGTGCTACCCATTGACTCTGGTGAACGGGTTGGCTTCGCAACAAACGTTTTCCTGACTTTCGCAGTATATCTGACAATTCTTTCCGGAGAACTTCCGGTGTCAAATCCACTTTCGATAATGAGTTACTACGTGGCGGCCATGTTGTCAGTGAGCAGTATAACGACCCTTATTGCCATTTTTACGATCCAGGTATCCATATATGACCCAAATGAGAAAGTCCCTCCCACTCTTGTATATATTGTCGCTTTTGTCACTTGCCGAGTTTGTCGAAAGCGCTACCGGATGATGGGACTTCATCATGAAACATTTGAGAAGATGCCACTGGAAGACGAGATGACTGAACCTGTGATTATTGCTCCCACTAATGAAGAAGAGGGGGAGGCTGATGACAGTGTCGAAAAATACAGATACGGGGTTTCCTGGAGGGTGGTTGGCAAAACCCTGGATAAGTTCTTTTTCCTCTTGTTTTCCATCGGAACTATTTCAGTATCATCCTATTTCTTGGTTCCTCTGTTCATGAAATTGGACACTTCGATTGCATAGATACTTTTGTTTTTATTATATACAGCATTTATCAGAAGAGGGAATCAATGCTTCTAATTTAGAAATTAAAAGTTGTTCTTTTTTAAAAGTGTTTTTTTTTTTATTTAGGTTTAAGTAAAAATTGAATAATCAATTCTCGTGTATATATCATTGCTTTACAAGTTGTTAATTAAAGAAAATTATGTGTATACATGTACATTTATAATTTATATCACATGTGATGATTATTGTTACCAGTAAAATGAATTTAAAGCATATAGTTATGAGTTGATTTATTGGGGCATATTTTTGCAAATTATTTTGCAACAACATCAATTTCTAAAAATATATGAAAACATAACTGGCGTTTTCCCCCATCAGTCCTTAAAAATGTCTCCTTCGTAAAATCAACTTAATTAAGTAGTAATAAGTAGTTATAACGATTATTACTTTAAAATGCACTTTTTATTAAATACCTAGTTCAAGTGTATACTAAAAGAAATTTTTCATTCCATTGTTGTCTAAATGAAAAAAAGCATTGAAAATCAACAATGCATTTCATAGTAAGTGATTTGAAAATAACTTCTGACTTGAAAACTTAGGAGCCTATTAAATTAACACCTAAAAGCTCTGATAATGGGGTCTCTTTTACAAGCCCTCTTTATCCTTTCCGTCGTTTTAGATGGGGTTTCCTGTCTTAATTCAGATCACATCTGGACCTGGATAAACGATACATTCTGCACTACAAGCTCTTGTACTTACCGAAAAGAAATTTTTCCAAGAGACACTTTATCCGATACGATCTATGTTGATATGGAATTGAGTTTGATCTCTTTAAGCGACTTTGATGAGGTTGCGGGTCATCTAGAACTGGTTGGGACGCTTCGAATCAAATGGATAGATGACATTGTTCTTGATCCATATAAAGTCGCCGCAGCGTTAACTCCTCCAACTTACTCCTTTACAGATGTACTGATACCACAGGATGACGTGTGGAAGCCTCCAATCACGGTTTTCAATTCTGTAAAAGCTTTAAATGCAATTGGAGATTCTAATTACTACGTGAGGATAACAGTGTTGAGCTCCGGAGCACAGGCAGACATGGAGTGGTTTCCAGGAATCGTGACGAGAACCGCTTGCAACGTTGATGTTTCTAATTATCCTTGGGATATCCAGACATGCGACATCATATTTACTCCTTGGGGATATCAGCCTTCAGAAATAGACTTTAACCTGACTTCTACAGCTGTTGACATTTCTAAATTCCAAGGTAGTGATGCATGGGAAATAAAGTCTACAACCATTTCACATGAGACCAAAGGAAACTCTTCTTTCGCAAAGTACACGCTGCAACTGGCGAGGAAATCTAGCTTCTTTTTAATGTACATTGTATTACCAATAGAACTCCTTTCTTTTCTGAATTTGATGGTTTTCATTTTACCTGCAGACTCCGGGGAAAGAGTTGGCTATTCCGTTACAGTTTTTCTGACACTTGCTGTTTATGTGACAATCATTTCAGATAATCTTCCGAAAACATCAAGTCCAATGTCTATTTTCGCATACTTCATGATCACAATGCTCATGATAAGTGCCTTCATCTGCTTTGTGACTATAATATCCCTCCGCGCCTACATCCGCAATGATGAAAATCCCGTACCAAAATGGGTGAAATTATTTGTAGCCGTAGCTTATTGTCGATGTTGTATCAGAAAAAAGGGAGAAGAGGAAGAAGAAACAGTCACTAAAAGACCACCAACGCCTCCCGCCAAACCAAAAATAATCAAAGTGGACTCTGAAAATGCTGTCGGAAAATGGGCAAAGGTGAGGGAACGGGTCGCGCAGAAGAATGGCGTCTTTCCGATGAAAATGGCGGTCCTTCAGGACTACAGTGACAGCGAAGAATCTACATCAAGCGATGCTGAATCGGAGGAGGAGGAAGAAATGGAGTGGTCGGACGTAGGCACGGCTATCGATATCTTCTGCTTGTATCTGTTTTTTGCTCTCATTGCCTTAGTTTCTATTGCCTTTCTCACTCCCCTCGCATCCACTAGAATGTAATAGTTTTGAAATTAATTCAATTGCACGCTTCAGTCACGATTTTGTTTTAAATTCTGTCATCTTAGAGTTTTCATAATATGGTTTTTCTCAAACTACATTTACTCTGCAATTTTTTTTGAAAATTTTGCATGATTTTGCATAAATTCTGTTTCATTTGATTATAAAATCTCTGCCAAAAATCTGTAATATATTTTGATTTTTTATACACAGGATTAATTTTCAGTTTATCAGACATTGATTGTCACTGAGAATAATATTTAAATATACACTATAATATATGGTAAACAAAAAGCTAATACTTTACTACATTGTTCTTTAACTGTTTGTTCTAATAGTTTAAAACTGCATATCAAAATATTCTAGATGTTATATTTGCACAAACAAATACTGTATGCAGAAAAATCATTGCTCCCGTTTTATTTTTGCCCTTTTGAATTTATTATCTATTTCTTGAGATATTACAGCAAATGCTTCCACGTAAAATTGTATCTTAAAAATATAACTTAATAAAGTATCAATTCAAATAAATCACGTGCATAACTACAATATGCTTACTTACGATTGTTGTTGTTTGTGTAAAATCTACTAGTAAGTGTTATTATTTTTTTAATGATCATTCATTTTTGCAAGTTTTTTTTAATGCACAAGGTACACATTTTTCATTTTCACAAAAATGTATAATAAAGAGGCATCAAAAATCCCCGAAAGATTTTTATAAATTGCAGCAAAAAGCTCTTTATCTTATTTTTATTTCACATCTTAATAACCGGAAAATTAAAGTTCCTCAAAAAATATCAAGTAGTCAGCGTTATTTTATTCTTTTCCATTAAAATGCGTAATCACAAATTAAGGTATATTCAGGGGAAAAGATTTTATTTGTGGTCTTTTTGGGGGGAGGGGGGCTAATTACAGATCGATCGACAAAGAACAGATTACAGTAGGTAGACATTTTGAACGACTCGCCGATATAAAAATCCATTAGAGAGATACAGAGAAAAAAAAGAGATACTTTTGCCATGGAACAAAATTATATTTTTAAATCCTACCGATTGTAATCAGCTACGAAAAATTAATATATTATTTTTTAAAATATGTATGAATATATATATAAGGTACTTCTTTAAATCTCTTTTTTATTTTCATACGGAATAAAAAAAGTCATGTACTAACAGTCTTGTTTAAGATTTTTAATCTGAGGAAAAAAAGCACTCAGAAAAGCATACAGAAAATATTAGACCTCTATCGAGGATATCAATCGAGGATATCAATTATCAAATAATGAGTCGTGGTGTTTGCATTCATTGTTATGAAACAAACTGAAGTCTGATCAGGAGGATTTAAATTTGAGTTTTATCGGTATGAATCTGGACACCTTTGTTTCAAGATGAACGTTTGATTAAATGTCGAAGTAGATTCATTCTAACAAAAAATTAAACCAAATTGCTCACGTAATTTTAAACGACTCCATAATAATGAAGACATCACACGAATTGTAGGATCAAAATGGCGGATAAGTGTTTCTTTTCTGTGATATTTCTTATAATCTGTTGTCTTACTCTCGTTTTATCCAACACTCCTACAAAATTCAAAACCTGGATGGCTAGCGAGCCATACTTATCTTACAACAAGCGAATTTTTCCACGCCTGAATCAAAATGACAATGTTACTGTGGAAATCAAATATTACCTCATCGCCATCAACGGTTTTGATGAAGTGGCTGGACAAATGGAAACTGCGGGCTACATGAAGGTCAAGTGGAACACGGAACTTCTAACTTGGTCCTCAACAGACATTCCGTCTATTACCTTACCACAAGATAATTTCTGGCTTCCATCTTTAGTGGTCTCTAATTCTGTGAATTCGCTTTTTGAACTGGGGCATAAGAGTTACCCCGTTAAGATAGACAGTAATGGGGACTGTGAATGGACTGTGGGGATAGTGGCCAAGACAGCTTGTGCAGTTGACGTTTCTTATTATCCATTCGACGTTCAAAGTTGTAAAGTTACGTTAAATCCATGGGGATTCAATGATAATCAGGTATATTTATGATAATTACAAAATTATTCATTGATATATTTATAATTCACTTGTCATAAATGTATCTTTATTATTCCCTTCAAAAAGGGTTTAAGATACATAAATGATTGTTAATATACGTGTATCAAGTAAAATGCAATTAATAAAGATATGTTTTAATCAATTCAATGTCTTTCAGATTTATCTGATGGCTACAGAAACTTCAATCGATCTGACTCATTACATGGAGAATGTCCAGTGGGAAATTGTCCAGACTACAGTGGTATCAAAGTCCGTCAGCAGCACATCCTTTCTGAACCTACAAATAGAAATGAAGAGACGCCCAGGCTACTTCATTGTTAACATGGTCATCCCTATACTTATTCTTGGACTTCTTAATGGTTTGGTCTTTCTTTTACCAGCAGACTCGGGAGAAAGAGTCGGGTTCGCGATTACAGCTTTCCTCACATTTGCAGTATTCTTGACGATGGTCTCCGCAAATTTACCCAAAGCTTCGGAACCTATGTCCCTTTTGTGTTATTTCTTGACTTTAATGTTAATCATGAGTGCCTTGTCCTGTGTCATCACAATTATGACTCTGAGGGTTTACCATCAAGATGAAGGTTCTGAAGTCCCAAAATGGCTTCGACACGTCGTCTGCTTTCTCAACTTTGAAAAGTTTAAGAAATGGTTCTGTTCGTCGAAAAGAAGCAAAAATTCTATCCACGCTGACAATGAGGCTTTTGAAGATGATGAAGACGACGACGAAATGGCGCCTCCACTCCAACAGAAGATCGGGTTCGGTGATGACAAGTCTGAAGCCTCGTCAGAGGACACTAAAGAAGAAGAGGAAGACGACACGGCACATGTCACATGGATCAAAGTCGGCAAAACTCTGGACATTTTCTTCTTTACGCTATTTGTGCTTGGAACTGTAATCATCACAGTTTTCTTCTTGGTGCCATTGGCAACGGAATCATCCACTTCGTAAAACTTATCTTGTTTTTTCTTCTTTTTATTGCACTTTTCACATTTAGAAAAGCATTTGTTAACATTTCTGTTTTTGACATTTATATTTTACTTTATCTTTTAAACATTTGTATACGTACAATAAAAAAAACATTGTCTTAATTTTGTTTTTAATACTATCTATGTAGGTTTATCGGTTGTAAACTATAGTTTACAAACCGTAAACTATAGTTAACAACGTTAATCTATATTTATCTGTAAACCATAGTTTACGCGAAATCTAATACTATATCACGATTGCAAAACTATTCAAAAAACCTATAGTTTAAGTTGCTGATAATCTATGTTTATCAACATACATATTGTGAAGAGTTGCTGATAATCCATACATATTGTGAAGAGCGGTTAATGTAATGTGCGGTTCCATTAATGTAATGTAAGAAAATGTACGGACAAATAAAAGTTACAAGTCGAAAATATTAAACAATATACCAGTAATACGAGTACGTAGAAATTATAGTTTTGAGTGTTTCTTTCGACAAAAATACAGGTTAAAGAAATGTTTCCCTTTAAAATAAAAACAATTAATTGAAAGTTGTTCGTTTTCTTATTCATTTCAATATCTTGTAGATTAGCAACTTTCCAGTAAACAATTAATCAACAATATGGAAAAAAGGCTACTGAAACAGATACTGTATCTCATCAATGCATTCCTTAAAAATCACCTTTAACACGTTGTTCAAATAACTAGTATATCGAGTACGAGGGTTGATCACAACTTGACACTTCTATAAAATCTTTAATGCTAGTAAACAGAAGTTTTCAACAATACTGCTAATACCTCTATCTATTTTGACTTTAATCCTAAATTGTCATTAAGATTATACAATACTTTAAAAAAAATACTGAAGTTAGCTTCGCAGGTACAGGTATGACGTTTCTTTTGACATTCATTTCGAATCTGTAACACAAGATCAACAGCAAAATGGATTTATTTAGAAGTATAATTTGGACAAGTTAACATAATTTTAATATTAAAAACTAAAACTTGACAGTTTACAACAAAGTCTAGTAAAGATTATTAATACAGATGTATGAATCAAAGGAAAGGGTAAGACAGTAGGTCAATAAATAGAAGATGAGTCTGATAAGTAACGTCATTATGACGTCGGTACCAATATTGCCGTGCGGCGATCGACAAAACCTCATTTTAGTGAGTACATTTATCTTCATATTTAAAGAGGTGTTTTAAATAATTGAACGAAATTTAAGGCAAAAATCAAACTAGATAGGATTGTTTTTAAGTGAATTTTGTTTAAAAACATTTGATTATGAAAGACTTTATAGTAGTGTGAAAATATTTTTGGATCAACTCTATTCTCTTTTCATGACTTTATGAGTCCGAGTTATTTGTGATGGAAATTCTATGGCTGTGAATTTAATTGAATACAGCCATCAAAAAGAGGATCTCTTAACATCATTATAAGATTGCAATTTCTAAACGATGTTACACTTTACTTCTTATTTTAGGTGTCTAGCTATTTTGGTAACACTAGAACTTATTCCTTGTTTTAAAGAATGAAATTGCAGATACGAATTATTTAAGAAATTTTACAAATTTGAAAAAAAGGATTTATTTATCAATTAATTCTGCATCGTTTCCCTTGTTTAAACCTGAATTTTGCTTCATATTTAAAGCGTACGTTAAAAAAGCTTAAATATCTGTTCATGTCAATGATCAGCAGGGTCAATAAGATATTTAACTGAATATTCGACAATTAAGACTATTGTTTTGATTTAAACGACCAATGATTTATTATCATGCAAGGTTGTATGGCGCATGTGCCGTACAAAACATTATTCTAACGTGAATGAAAAGCTGAAAACACCGAGGAGGAAAAAGAAACAGAAAATATGAGATTCGTCAAAAGAAAAATACTTCTAGGATTTTGCTTGGTAATTTTATGCTTATCATTGACTGTAGATTGCCAGCAGAACCCAGGACCCTCGGATTTTAAGGCATGGTTGGGACAAGCTCCATACGATTCTTACAACATGAAAGTTTTCCCGCGAAACAACCAAAATGACAACGTCACGGTAGATATATCATTCTTCCTGATCGCCATCACTGACTTCGACGAAGTCGCTGGACAAATAGAGATGGTGGCATACGTAACGGCCAAGTGGGAGAATCAGCTTCTCATATGGTCCAGTGTTCAAAGTCCGATGGTGTCCCTGCTTCTTCCACAAGATTACCTGTGGAAACCATCGTTAGTCTTATCCAATTCTGTCGAATCCTTGAAAGAACTCGGGGACCAAAGCTACAGGATTCGTATAGACAATTATGGGAATCACGAATGGGTGGTCGGGATTGTATCGAAGACGGCATGTTCGGTTGATATTACTTACTATCCTTTTGATAAACAGTCCTGTAACATTACTTTTAATCCATGGGGCTATACCCAAGATCAGGTAAGACTTTTGCTAATTAAAAATCAACTTTATTTTTTAATTATATACACGTTTTTGTTCTGTCGTTCAGGATTTTGAGACTTTTTCATTTGAGAGTGTAGGGTATGCTTTCAACGTTTGTTTTTCAGGTAATTGCTATTGCTCCTGAGTAAAGCAATATTCATGCGTTTTTCTGATCATGTAATACTTATTTTTTTTATTTTACTTGATAATATCATAGATTGACCTGGTCACTGAAGATACCACAGTTGACTTGACCCATTACCAGGAAAACGTAGAGTGGACCATCTCTAGCACCGTGGTGGATAAAATAATTCTGAAGAATAATGTCTACCTCAACTTTGTTCTCAAACTAGAAAGGAAACCTGGGTACTTCATCATCAACATGATTATTCCTATACTTATTCTCAGTCTCTTGAACGGACTTGTATTTTTACTTCCGGCGGACTCTGGTGAGCGTGTAGGGTATGCCATTACAGCTTTCCTCACTTTTGCAGTTTTTCTTTCCATGGTTTCTGAAAACCTTCCGAAAGCGTCCGAGCCTATGTCTATGCTGTGTTATTTCCTTACACTGATGTTGTGTTTGAGTGCACTATCCACAATCATCACAATCCTAATTCTCCGAGTTCATCATCAGCATGAGGAGTCGGAATGCCCGAAATTCCTACGCCACATCATCGCATTTATTAAGTGTGATAAATGCAAAAAGTGGTGTTGTAACAAGAAAAATGTCAAGGAAATTAACCCGGATGACGAAGAGGAAGAAGAGGATGAAAATGGCGACCTCGGAGAGAACCCGGATGACACAAAACATATTACATGGAAGGTTGCAGCCAGGGTTTTGGACTATTTCTTTTTCCTTGTATTTCTTGGAGCAACGTCGGCTATTTCTGTTTTGTTTCTTATTCCACTTGCAATGGCTGGTTGAGAGACAGATAGGGAGAGAGAGAGAAAAAGAAAGAAAGAGAGAAATAGAGAGAGTGTGTGAATAACGTCATTATATTAATGTAGCTTTGAAAATTAAATTGTAATTTCGTTTATTACTTGTACATTGTATTATTGTTTGTTGCCTTTATGATTTTGTTACAAGTGTATGTTCATAGTTGTGTACCCGTAACTATGAAAAGATACGCAAAAATAATTACGTAAATAAAAAGTTGTTTCACAGAGTATATTAAAATTTATATAACTTAATTTGTTTTATGGAAAGAGATAGCTGCAGATTTGTAGCTCTCCGAAAAAAAAATTATATTGAAAGACCGGAGAGCTACAGTGCCACCCATTGAAAAAACTGTATATTTATTGCGCACAAAATAGTGCGCTCGGTTCTTGATTAATTCTTCCTTATTCTTACCTCAACTGCAAAAAAGGGTAGATTTAAATAAATCCTTTCTCCTCTATCAAGTTCTCTTGTAGTTGACATCTGAACGAAGCATATTGGACCGAATTATCTTTGAAACCAAAATGGCAGTATGAATAAGTGAAATGTTCTCTCATTACAATATCAGGGTCAGGAGGACCGATAACAACAATTATGAGGAGTGTTTGGTTGTGGAAACAGCGAGAAAATATGTGAGGAACAGTTGGTAATATTTTGAGATCACAGTTTTAAAAACATGGAGAAATAAATCGAGAACCGAGCGCACTTTTTTGTGCGCAATAAATATACAGTTTTTTCAATGGGTGGCACTGTAGCTCTCCGGTCTATCAATATATTTTTTTCGGAGAGCTACAGATCTGCAGCTAGGAAAGAGAGAAATTGTCGATGGGGTTTAAGTTAAAAGTAGGAAGTTTTAGTCGTGGCTTCCTTTTTTAATGTCTTCATACAAAATGTAATTTATCTCAAATTTTAAAGTTAATTTTTCTAAATTTTGTTGTGTTTATGTTAAGTACATGAAAATCGGATACAATATAATTTCAATTAGATGCAATTGTCATTGTTTTTATTTTATTCAAATCATACAAAAATATATTAGTGTTCATTCGAAATAATTATTTGCTTTTTGTTACATTTTGCACATTTGATCACCGCCAATATGGTTATTTTATTTAATATATAAAGAATTATATTTTATTACTGATAACGTTAAAATTGATTTAAAAGAAATTGAATTGTAGCGATAGGGTATGTCAGTAAAATTTCCAAACCTTGGGTTAGAATAGATTGAGTTTAAAACTTTAAAAGTGCTTACAAAGCCGCGCTCTATTAAAATCATATCTAACAAAAGGTTAATCTGTTGGATATACATGTACAATGTGAACCGTTGTCTAAGAATGGGATCAGCCACTTTAAACCTGTAACGTTTATAATTACATATTAATTACCACACCAAAAAAATGTTGTCCTTTTAAATTGAAATGTTTTTCAGATAATGCAACATTGATGACCCATTGTGACCCATATCTGTGTTCTATATCTCATTTTTCAATCAAATAAACTGTTTTTGAAGTCATGACATAGGAGTTTAGCCTTCTGGAAAATGGCGTATCACGAATCTGGCAAGATATCACGTCCAAATATCCTAAAACAATCGCTATGTGCACTATTTTTTGGCCATATTGATCGTGTTCGATTAAGCGCATCATTGACGAACCAAGATTATATATGAATAACTTTATCTTTGTTGCCCCAAGGTGTAATACATTTTGTGCCAATAGGGATTTAAAAATATAGATGTCATTACGTTTATACGTAAAACAAAGATAACAGATATGCATTAAGTCGCTAATTGCAAACCAAAATCCTTAACTACAATTTAGTTAAGCCGTGTTTTAACGGATTTCAAAACGCAAAATACATAGTCCCAATTTACATGAAATATATTTATCCGTAGTGGGATAGGCCGATTACATTAAAAAAAATTAACCAAATGTTTTTAAGAATTTTATGAATTACTGAGTATATGTACCCAGAATGATAATCTGTTTATTTGATTTCAAACAAGATTACAGATATACGACTCAATAAATCTTACATAATGATTGAATGAGAACTCTAAATATGTTCTGGTCCAAGTTATTATATTAATATATATAAATTAAATCAAAATTAGGGTTAATTTTTAATTGAAATTTTAACTACCTTCATAGTTCGAAGGGGAACAACTCCGTCGCCTGTCAAATGTATAATATTGCGCATGCCTTAAATGGATTGTAAATAAATAAAAGAAAAAACAAGATAAGTTTACTGTAGTATAGTATTAGAATCTTGTTTGGTGAATATATAATTTCCTCATTGACATATAATCAAGTATTCGAAAAATAAATCACTCTGTTGCGACGTTTGTCGTGGAAATTGACTAGTAATCTCCTTCGAACACAATCACGTCTTTAAAGACACTATATTAACAATGAACCTCATCGGCGACTTTTCTTATCCTTTCCGACAGTGTTCTTTTTTCCAACTTCAGGACCTTGTGCTTTTTGCATCCAGTCTGGGGGATCCCTTAACGAAGAACGACGCCGTTCCAAATACTTCTTGTCTGGTGTTTCCAGGGTAACGGATCCTCTCCTGCCATTTCCGGCACCGCCCAAGAATAAACCACCAGTTAAGGATCCGCGCCTTTCGAGACCTCTCAGTTCCGAAGCATCTTGCTGTAGAGATCCTCGTCTTCCAGCATGAACCGGTTTTTCGTTCTTGGCAACTGGGAGCACAATTGGTTCTTTATTTTTTGGATCTTTTTTATCCTTTTTATTTCGACTTGTCTTTTTGTTCTTATTTGCATTTGCATTTAAGTTTAGTTTGGCAAGTTCTTCTTTTACACTGTAAACTAATTTTTCATTAGAAAGATTTGCTAGATTCTTCGTGTCTTCTTTATCAATCCTCTCTTCCTTTGTATTCTGAGGCCATTCATTTATTTCGGTTTCCGGAGGACTCTCCACCTTTTGTCTTTCTATTTCACGTACCTGTTGTTCGTAAACTTCTTGATTCCTTTGATATTGGAACTTTTTTTCTTTTTGAACTTCGCTAGACGCTTCCGCTTTCACTTTCTCTAAAGAAATAATGATTCCATCCTTAGCTAACCTATCCACTTGTTTTTCCTCTAAAGTCTCGATCCTATCGAGGCACTGTTTTAACCGAATTCGAAAATGCTTAACTCGAAGCTGACGTTTTATTTCCGATTTTTGAATAGCCTCCTTAATCTTAGCGATCCTCTCATCTATATCATCCGTCGGAGGAAGATCGGAAATATCCGAAGAGAAAGAAATTTTCCTCACAGGAGACTGTGCAACTTCCGTCATGTTAGTTTCTCTAATTCAAACTCAAGCACCTGTATAATGTTGAATAATGCATGCAGCAAAATGTGATTTTCAGAGATTTGTGCATTTATAGAGGGATTAATAACGAACTTAAAATAATCATTTAAGCCATTTACTTTTTGCCGAGTCAGATGAATCACCGATTATCGGGTATTATTTGAATATATAAACTTGTTTTCGTGTAAGGCATTAGTATGTCCAATTTAGGGATTTTATCAGTACACATAATCTTGTTTATTAAGTTTATGGTATTAAATAACAGGTACACATTCACTGCAAAATTTTCCCACCATTTTTACAAGAAATAGAATGTTTTCCATGAGCACTTGTACGTCAAAGGCTTTGTTCTTAATATCTTATTGAGGTGTCAAGATTTGAAGTAGTAATAAAACGAATTAACACAGCCTCTTAATAAATGTGACATTGACTACTTACTCAGCCTTTGGCATTTGGTTTGAAAGAAGCTTACTGGGCACCTGATCCCACCTCTGGTGTTTGCAAAGCTCCGCGAAGGAGTTGAAGAGAATAAAGTAACGGCTTCTGTGCGTGTGAGGTGTGTTAGAGTGTCCTGTGAGAAATGAAATTATCATAATTTGCATCGAAATCGATGTCAAATGTTGTCTATAGATTTATAGATATGCTCTTTGCGAGAGGAAACTTCGTTTTGCGGTATCCTGTTTCTGTTTCAGCGGCCCTCCTCCATGTGTCCTATGGTCTTACAGGCTTCTTTCCAGGTAGTTTACTTTTCATGGCTCTTATTTGTTGTCCTTTCTTCCTTTGCTGAAATATAAATATAACCCGCAGCATCTACTGAGACCGGAACCTCAGTTTAAACGATCCAATCCGAAGGTCCGGTCTCAACGTCCCGCAGTGGCACCGGTATTCAAACCCGTGACGTAATCATCAACTCCTTACTACGCAACTCGAGAGCAAACGCTGTATTTATGCACTGCTTTACGTTGGCGACTTTAAAACAAAATCTTTTTTTTTAGAAATAATAAAGGTCCCAACCTCTACGCTGCGCCCCTCCCCACTTTCTATAGGTCTGATCAGTGAGATGAATTCAATGTTTACTTTAGATAGGCTATGATAATATATTTACATCCACTGAATATTTTCTCCTTTATTTCTTAAGAAAACCCATTGCGTTAATTTACAAGGCATGTCGCCTGTAAATTTCTTGATCAGTGGCTGTTCCATCAATAAAACGAAGAGCATCATTAATACAATAATTTTTCTTTTTTCCTAAATTAAATGATTATTTAAACAGATATAAATATAAACAATAAAACTTTGTTGTTATTACATTTTTGCAGAAAAAAATTACATATTTAATTATGTATTTTTTCTTCAACAGCTGCGACCGTTACATTTTGTAAATATCATCAAGAAATTGTATCAGGGCATTTCAGCTGTACATGTATTACCTCCGGGATAAACTTGATTAACATATTATCTGTACTTTGACTTAACTAGATAATAACTATCTAGATCAAATATCTACTTGTTAATACTCATTTTTGCACGGTCTACAGAAACAGATATTTTAAAAAAAAATGCTCTTTTTTCTGTTGATCGTTGCTGCTTGTAATGGATTGCTTCTTAATGGGGACGGTGGAGATCTTCCTGACGCCTCCTTGGATCATCGCATCCAAGACATAATGGCAGAAATCATCAGGCTGCAACGAGATATTGCTGATTTAAACAAACAAAATACTGATTTAAATAATCAAATCGGTAAGAATTTCGATCATTTATCCTGTGATGTAAATACACGTACTACATTTACTGTATTTCCTTAAAAATATTAATAAATAGTCATATAATGTTTGTGTAAAAAGCAATATAAAATCGTAAAATATGTTAATATTTGAAATTTACAGCTACGATGAAAGCCAAAGACCTGAGTGTTGCTTTCTTTGCCTATCTTAGCAATGATATAGTGCATCCATCTGCCGGTACAAAGATGACTTTTCACGGATTAGATACTAACATTGGTAGTGCATATGATTCTGCAACAGGAATATTTACAGCACCAGTATCAGGGACATATAATTTCGCATTCACTGCGTCCGTACCCCCGAACCCCTCTTCTCATCTAGTCCATATATTCTTGAAGAAAAATGGAAAAAAAGAAATGTACATATTTCTGGATTACCATACTCAATTTTGGTTACAACGAAGTTCTTCAACTGTATTACATCTGAACAAAGGTGACCAAATTTGGATGGAAATTGGTTCAGTTAGTGGCCAAATTACCGTGGCGGGTTATTCTTCCGCAGAAGATAGATACCATACTCATTTTTCTGGTTTTCTTATTCATGCAGATTAAAACTGTGTACCATTAGTGAATTTTACCTGATATTTGTGAACTACATGTAATATCTGATTTTTCCTTCAAATTCTTGATTTTTTTTTCAAAAAAAAAAAATTAAATAGATAAATTTAAAGCATTACAGAATTCCATTAACGAAAGCCAATTGCCTGCTGACTTTTAAAATGATTTGATAAATGTAAGCGAAATAACCCAAAAGTGCGATTCAATTACACAATATTTTATGTACTTTCAGTCAATTTATATGAGTAAATGATATAAATACACGTATTTATAAATAATGTTAACTTTGTTAATACTTGGATTAACAGATGCAAAACTTACTCATGTGATGCTCAGTGTATTTGTTCCGCAGTAGTTCATCCAAACTTCCACGAGAGTTCGATTGTGTGCAGAAACGCAGAGGACTATGGGTAGTTTGCCGTTTGATCTGTAAGATTTCCAGATGCGCAAACTAAGCTTCTCGAAGAAGCTTTTTAAGGGGCCGGAGGGAAATGGGAAATATTGCATGTTTCAATTCCTATATCTGTAGAGAAGGTGTAGAAGGAGTTTAGGGGATCGAAGGTGTCTAGTACTAGTAATCTCTGACATCGGCCTGGGATAACATTCCTGATAAAATATTTATCCCTCAATTTGTAATTAACTGAATATGATTATTTTAATCGTTTACCCGTTGCATTGAGTAAAGGTTAAACATGTTTAAAATGTGTTCTATCACTTTTTAAAATTACATTATTGTCATAGTTTCTTTTGCAAGTTTGTTGATACCCGAGTTAACTAGACATATACCCAAAATAAGACCCCTCAGAAAGCAACCCATTTACGTCCACTGCTATCACCAATTCTTGACATACTTAGATAACTGCAGTGATGACCAATGGAAAATCAGATCCTCTCCAACATGTTCTCAAGTTTTGAGTAACAAACGAAGATTATCCACTAGAATCTGAAAGATTTCGCACCACCTCCTCATTTCAGATACACATTCAGAACACAATGTTGTTTATTTTCTTGCTATGCTTTGCTGTGTGCGAGGGACTTCTTGTTAATGGAGATGGAAGCTCGGTGCCAAATGCTGCCATGGAGCAGCATATCCAGAACATGATGGAAGAAATTGTACGTCTTCAGCGAGATGTTGTGGAATTAAACAAAGAGATAGGTAAATATAACATTCTTCCTTCGTAATGAATGCTAGTGACACGTTTTACTGAAATTATTGAATTCAGAATAGAATGAAATTCTTTACTTACAGCAGACATGAAAGCCAAAGATCAAAGCGTGGCCTTCTTTGCCTATTTGGTAAACGACCTTGTGACTCCAGCAGCCGGTACAAAGCTCGTGTTTGGAGGAACGGAACTGAACATGGCCAATGCCTATGATGCAGCGCAAGGGGTATTCACTGCACCAACATCAGGGACATACCACTTCACATTTGTTGGCTCTTCGCCAGCTCAAACTACACCACACGGACTGCATGTCTATTTGAAGAAAAATGGCAAAAACGAAATGTACGTATTTCTGGATGGAAACACACAATACTGGTTGCAACGGAGTTCTTCCACTGTGGTTCATATGGTGAAAGGAGATCGGGTTTGGTTGGAGGCCGGTGGGGATTCCACTTTAGGGGGACACAGACAGTCGGACGATGCCTATCACTCACATTTCTCTGGGTTTCTTATCCAAGCTGATTGAAGCACTAGTGAATAATTTTCAGTGCTCTTTTTCAAAACAATTCATCACTTTAGCTATATAAAAAATAAAACCTCTCGAGGTACATGTATTAAAGCTTTTGCGTTTCTGGTCTTTGAAATCTTCACTATTTTTTTTTTTGGGGGGGGGGGGGGGTACTTTACGCTTGTTGAAATCATCCTCTAAAAGTGAGGGATATCAAGAAGGTTTCTAAAATGCATGCCACATTTAGGTGCATTATTTCCTAACGATTTTCAGTTTGGAATTTTACTTGAAGGGCTGTTGGAATGAGTGGAATGTCCGTCAGATACTAGTATTTGTTGCCTAGCAGTGTCCCGCGGATAAGTTTTGTTCGCCAGTGTAACGGAGTTGATGGTAGAGCAGGGGGTTAGGAACAACAAGAGACCTATTGGCTTAAACAGTCATTTGAATATACTACTACATTTTAAAGTATCCATCAAAGTATAAAACTTGGGATATTGTGAGCAAGTACATATACACAAAATACAACCCTAAAATAATTTTTATTTCAAGTACCCATTTATATTTTGTAAATGTGACCTTGAATCTACCAAAAAGTATTTGGAAAAAACTCTCTCTGGTCATAAGTTGTGAAATTTGTGGCCATAAGTGAGTCTGTAGTATGAACAAGAATTTTACATTTTTTTCTGCGGATGGCCTTGAACTAATTGGCGGAATGACAATTGTTTCATATTATGACGCACCCTCAGATCAATCTTTGTATCAAGTATGTACTTCCAATGATTTTCTTGTCAGCAAATACAATTTATCATTGAGTCAAATGGTGACTGACGTTTTTTATACTAATTGTTTGTCCATTATTTATACACTGAATTGAGACGGTTATTTCTTGATCATGACAAGGAGCACACGGCGGGTGTGACCGGTCAGCAGGGGGTGCTCACTCCTCCATGGCACCTAATCCCACCTTTGATGTTTCGGAGGTCCGTATTTGCTCTGTTCCTATTTTGTATTGTTTTATGGACATATCCTTCTTTTACAAAGATACCGCTATGATAAGATGGCACGGACAAGATGATTCCGATGTATACCCCAACTTCATTTGTCGTGTTAGAAAAAAACAAAATAAACTGTTTAAGGAAGCTATTTATGTTACCCAAAAAGAAAAACAAAGATGATCAGAGAGAGATCAACACAACAATAAGTCTAGAACTCATTAATGAAACATATGGAGATAACGAACAGTATTCAAGATCAAAAATCCATAAAACAATACAAAACAGGAGCAGAGAAAACACCCACCTCCAAAACATCAGAGGTGGGATCAGGTGCCATGGAGGACTGAGCATCCCATGCCGATCGATCACGCCCGCCGTGTGCTCCTTGTCATGATCGGGGAAAATCCGTCGTTAAGTCAGTGTATAAATAATGGATTAACAATAAGTACGTATGGAAAACGTCAGTCATTAACAAATCTTGAAATAGGTCTATTCACTTGCCAGAACTTAAAACCCCCTCCCCCCAACCCAATCCAACGCCAATTGTCACCATCACCAGCCTGACTAGACAAAACAAAAGCATCATCATAAAAACTAATCCCATTGGCCTCTTACATTGACCTTTCCTGTCCTTTGGTGAACATTTAATGTATAAAGATACGGCATTTTTGGTCTTTTTATCAGTTGTTTACAATTCTACATGATCATTAAACCTATGAAACTACTTTTTGTACTATATATAATAAAAATCCTTCCTTGTACCATTCCCTAACTCAATCGAGCTTTCAACCATATATTACCTACATTGATTAATTATAAAAGATGATCAGAGATGAATAGCAAAAAGAGGGTCAAATACCTTCAATTTTAGGAACAGAGATAACGATTTCCAAAGAATTCATTCTATTTCAGGGGTCATGAAATTCACAATTCTGGAAGAGACACCGTTGAACAGTATAACTATGCACTTGTTTGTTTATACCCAAGCGAGATTTTCAAAGAAATAATGCACATTCACTATATTCAATTTCACTTTTATTTACTAATTCACCAGTCATGTTGTTACGACCATGTAAGTTAATAAATATAAAATGAGAAGTACAATGTGATATCATATATATATTACTTAAACACTTACTTCAGTGTTTTATATAGAATGATGACTGCACGTTTTCAGATTACTAAAACGCGTGATAAAAAAAAAACATATAGAAGTGTACATGCAGTAAATTCAACTTTGTTTACAAGTTTTAGTTATAAACAAACATTTAGCAAACAGTATAATACGAACAGAGATGAATGTACTCGTATCAATATATCAAATACATGTACATGTATGTGTTATTGCGCTTAATTTTTAGGACAAAATTAAAAACATTCATAAACTTTTCACACATTCTTCTAGCTATACTGAATGAACTGCATAGACAGCATAATAAAATATTTAACAATAATTTTTTCAACATGTTAACATCAATTTTTCGTAAATCTTTATACAAGGGTACATGTATAACACTATACAGAATGTATTCCATTTTCTACAACAGTTTTGCAAAAGTTCGGGAAATAACATTCTTTTGAAATACATGGATTTGAAAATCCGCCCGCTTCAATTTCGAAAGATTCTTTAAAATTCTTAAATATTCTTTTCTAGATTTAGAACATACAGATTTATTGGAAATATCAAGTGCAAGTAGTCTTATATTTCATTTTTTTAATTTATCAATAAATCAATATATAATCAATATTGCTACCTTCCTATAGACCCCTCCCCCCTTACAACCAAGGGCTGCTTTAAATTTCACAACTTTGGAAGACTGGGGCACTTTTGTTTATTATAACTGATCGTAACCATACATTTCGGTAAGAAAATAAAACTTTGAAAGAATTAATGCATTTTCATCATAATTTACAGGCTATATGATCATTAGAGCCCTTTGTGGCAACGCACTTTGAAAAAATTACGCACTTTGAAAAATTTTTTCAAAGTGCGTTAATTTTTGGGACCATGTTAACGCACTTTGAAAAAAAATTTTTTTTTTCAAAGTGCGTTAATATCGACCATATTAACGCACTTTGAAAAAAAATTCTGCATGGCTTAGTCAATATTCCTACAAATCTCAGGTATGATAAATTATCATTTGAACCTGATTTATACTTTTTGTCCCCCGCTTGAAAAGTGGGGGACATTAATTTGGGATCTGTCCGTCCGTCCGTCTAGCTGTCCGTCCATCCGTCTTTCTGTAACGCTTTCGTTTCCACACGATATCTCGACAACCTTTGAGCTTTTGCAATGAAATTTAACATAACAGAATCCTTGTGGCCTAAGGAAGACCCCTTTTGAATTTGGGGTCAAAAGGTCAAGATTCAAGGGCGTAAAGAACTACGAAGGATAGTATTTTTCTTCCGCCTATCTCTAAGTCAATTCTCAAAAGTTAACATATTGCAATGATTCTCAAAATTTTTATAGATATTCATATGAATTTTCATAAAACTTTACTTATTTGGGATACCAAAGAGAGATAACTCTATATTTTTGGCAAAACTTGTGTTTTTCACTATAGAAATCAACGGAAAACTGAAAATATTGTTAAAACATCTCCCCCCCCCCCCCCGTGAAAAAAAAATTCCTTATTTACAGGTAATATGGACTGTCATTTTACAAATTTATGCCAAAGCTTTTTGTGTTTCACGGGGGGGGGGGGGGCATATGTTTATAGACAAATCACGAAAAAAATTGCTTATTTTTCACCAATTTTAAAGCTATTTAAAACTAAATAATTGTATTTTATTAATTTATATATGCTTTATTTATTTGCGTAAGACATGAGAAAAGATATTAGATACATGTTATCATATTTATGATTATTTCAAAATATGGCGATTCTTGAAAGTTCATCACTATATCCCATCATACGTTGCGAGGGGATAATACTGTTGTCTATTTCTAAAATATATGTCAAATTCCTTTTGTTTCATGAAAATTTTTTCAAAGTGCGTTAAGTGTTTACATGGTGTAAAATTATGATGTACAGTCTTAACGCACTTTGAAAAAATTTTTCAAAGTGCGTTGATTTTCCCAAATTCAACGCACTATGAAAAAATTTTTCAAAGTGCGTTAACCTGGTCCCAAAAATTAACGCACTTTGAAAAATTTTTTCAAAGTGCGTAATTTTTCAAAGTGCGTTGTAACAGCCCTTCCTAACTCCAGAACACCTGACCCTAGGTTCATGAATTTCATAATTTTCGTTGAGATTCAATGCTAAATATAATCATACCATGATCGAGTTTTCAAGACTGCGCTGTGCAAAGAAGAAGATTTATAAAGATTACACTAATTTGGATATGTTTAGTCTAGCCCCCAAGGCCTCCGTGAAGGGGGCTACAGCAAATTTAACTGATAGGATTGGTTAATTAAATTTGTTTCGGAGAAGAAGCTGAAAATGTTCACAGTCATGTTTTTGACGATGAACGAAAAAACGGATGATTTTTTAATAGCAATAAGACACCCATGCAGATGACCTAAAGAAAAAAAATGGAACAAAAGCTTGACATACGTTGACGTCAAATATTTGTTTTTGGCAGATAAAAACTTGGAAGATGATTTGCAATTAGTATCATCACTATGATGTAATGTGTCTGATTTATCACAGCAACGAAATCAAGATCGTGAACACATCATTCTGATCGATTTAAGTATTTCTTTCGTCCCACTAGGAGAAATAGGGTTACTAGTAATGTGTATATGTCCACTCTACTGAGACCAACATTGAAACATCCCAAACTCCTCCCGCAAAGACAGGGATTCTCACACGAATGAGGGATGCGTGGAGGAAAATAACGAAATATGAAGACATTGTGTTTACCTCCAGTCGCAAGAATCCTCCGATTCTTCAACAGAAGATTGTTCTGAGTTAAAAAAAAAATCATATTCCCTATCAGTTCCGAGTTCCATAGCTTTGTCGACAGATAAAACACCATCCTTGTTTTCAGGTGTCGCAAGCCTGTCTGCGACTTGTCTTTTAACATTGGATGAAGATTCCGAAAAAGTCTTGACTGTTTGTTTTGATTGG